ACCTAAATATTAGCCCACCTTTATATTTTGTTGAGAGAACACAAGAAGTTGTCAAGAGCTAAATATAGTTATCTTGCAATAACGGGTAGGTCGGCTCGTGTATTTTGACCTTTGACCTGCTCTAAAAACACCCCGCGTTTTTCCAATCCGGATCTCCAGCAATTTGCTATATTAGGACCGTCACGCTCTGCGGACACCAGTTTGACATACCGTGCCGTGTTTGCTGTGCACGGTAATTTTCTCTCTTTACGGTAAGCTGATAAATGCATGACTGGAAAATACACGTAGCTTATTAATATATGCTACACGTTCGCTGTAGTGGTCGCGTTTGTAATTGTGGATCTTTAACGTTCTCGGTCGACGCAGTTCTAGGGGGCGGGCTGCTTCCACTTCGTCTGCCAAGGCCAATCTTGGCTGAGAGGGATGGATACACGTCCCAGCAGGAAGCCAGAGATTGCCGATAAAACTTCTATCCACTAGGACTAGGGAATCGAAATCACGTCTGTTGCGTCTGACAGTGAAGCGCCCCGCGGTATCACCGCAGACTCAGGTAATGTTTGCTGTAAAAACGCCCCCAAAAAGAAATAGCATGTATTAAAGAGCCTTTCAAGAACAAATATATAGGCAGGCCTACACCGTCTCTTGAAACGCGTACAACCTTGGGATATTTAACGTGTCCGGATGAGGTAGGGCTTTAAATAGTTTTCGAGTACTGTAGAACTGGAACGCTGTACAGAGTTTTGTTGTGGGGACGCTGTGGAGTCGTAACCGATATCGCTGCCAACTTGTTGACTTTTTAACTTCTTCTATTTCTATGTCTTGATAACAAGTTGTGGTAGGAGAACGTGCCGGTATATAGTAGTGTATTCGACTCTTGAAGATACTGCAGAGCAAACATTGTCGTAGCCAGTCAAAGATAGGTCGAAAGCAGCGGAATTCAAACGGGAAATGTGACGGGTTGAGTCTCGTTTACATTTGTTTGTTTATCTTAAAAAAAAACAACAACCCAGAAACATTTGGAGTCTACATTATCTTTGGGCAAAAGTTCGTACTTTTGCAAGATTTGATAAGGGTGTAGAACTCAATTTTTTAAGTGTGATATTATGTGTTACTTTGTGATCGTTAAACTCATGTTATTATATCACCATCATTAAGTGCCTGGTCTGAAACAGAAGTCGACGATCATAGACCACCTTTAATTTCTTCACCCACATGCTCTAGACATCTATATTTACTATCCTGGTCTTTGTTCGTCATCCATCTCTTAAAGTCATCCATCTCTTAAAGTCATCCATCTCTTAAAGTCATCCATCTCTTAAAGTCATCCATCTCTTAAAGTCATCCATCTCTTAAAGTCATCCAAGTTAGGTGCTCTTATTGTACCCCTGGTTCTTTTACTCTTTTACCATCTATTTTTCCAATGACAACATGATGTTCAAGACTGTTATGTTGATTCAGCTGTCCCAGAGACAACTGCATTTCTCTTCCTTTTGGTTTTTATAAGTGAGCAGCACGTATGAGCTTCTTTTGGTACTAGATCTATCTAATTTGATTTCTTTTTCTTCCATGAACTTCTCAACAGTCTCAGAACGAACCATATTTCTGATGCTTCCATGTTTTTTTCACTGTCTTTGGTAATTGACCAACATCCACAGTCGTATAGATAGGTTAATCACACTTACGTGACCTTTTGGGACTCATTTTTTGGTAGTGATTGTTTCTGTTTTTCTGGATTAGAATCATTTTTATTGAAACTGTCTGTGGCTACAGCAATTCTTTATTTCATTGGTTGATTGTGGTTATAACACCGATTGGTGGGGGGCGAAGGGCGGAAGAAAAGGAGACGTTCAAACGTTTCTGTTTTTTAATAGGTCAAACTGTGGTCTTATGAAACGCAAGCGCTTGTGACAATGGATAAGAAGGACTGACGCATGCAATTATCAGAGAGGATCTCACTTGAGAAGTGTGAGGTTTTGACCCCGCGAGAGTGACCCTTGATCCCACCAACTGGACCTCTGAAACCCCCATCTATCAGCCCCTAAATTCCCACGTCTAAGATGGAAAATGTCTAACACTGACTTCTTTTTCTGGCTCCCTTGCGATTCTGTCTTGCACACGTTCGACTGTTCATAATTATATCAATATTTATGTCTAAGTTCCACTTAAAGTCTCCGTATCGTATGTGTGGGTGTTGTGAACTTGACACTGAAATAGATCTATATCAAGGTCTATCCAAACTTGATCTCGGACTGTGTCTAATTTTTGCCTCGGTGTTTGGTTTTGGAATGTTTCCGGGTTTCCACAGGGATATATTATTTGGTTTTAGTTTCAAGGAATTTGTGAATGGGGAACTACCTTAGATAGATAGATAGATAGATAGATAGATAGATAGATAGATAGATAGATAGATAGATAGATAGATAGATAGATAGATAGATAGATAGATCGATCCATCGATCGATCCTTCCATCCATCCATCCATCCATACATGCATGCATGCATCCGTCTATCCATCCACCCGTCCATCCTTGCATACATGCGTACACATGGAGAAAGAGAGAGAGAGAGGGGGGGAGAGAGAGAGAGAGAGAGAGAGAGAGAGAGAGAGAGAGAGA